ACTCAAGAAATCTCTCTCTCTCTCTCTCTCTCTCTCTCTCTCTCGTATTGAATGGATGCTTGTGGGCTTGGATACACATACATATATAGTTTCTATAAGGCCTGGGCTTATAAAAAAAGGAAAGCCTCACCTCAAGATCTATAAAAAATACTTAAGATGGCCCTAAAATCTATTTCCACCGTTCATTATGAAATTTGTGAACAATTAAAAATAAACGGTATAGATAATGTGTTACAATATACGCTATTTTTAAGATTTGAAATCCTTTTTTTTTTTTTTCACAACCACAATGATTAAAGTCGAGATGATCGATTTGAAGGTTTTCCGACCTTAAAACTATATATATATTATTTTGTTTTATTTTTATTTTTTCTTTTTTTTTTGAGATGTGGCTTTACTTTTTTTTTTATTCAGCCTTGGCCTTAATAAACTTGGTACTTGTTGTGGTAGGAGTTAGGAAAGCAGGACATGGACAGTTCCATCAGCTCCTTTGTGATTGATCTCTGGAAGTGTGAATGGTAAGGGAGATTAGCAAAGCCTCAAGGGGTTGTTGCTTTCTGCCTATGATGTTGATGAGGCTACAGCTACCTTTGAAAATTTGCAGGATGGGAGTGATATGATGAGGCTAAAGCTACCACCTCCCATTCATTATTGTCTTATGTTGGAAATCACATTAATGAGAGCAACCATTCATACCAATTTCTCTTTGGAAATCCTACAAATTTTCAAAATAAATGCTCCATCCATCACACAGTCTCAACAAAGCACATGCCACCAGCAGATGAAGAAGCTCCTAGAAATTAGATCTGTCATCAACTATTTATTACACAGTAAAATGAAACGAAATGATGGTATAAAGCATAGATTACAAACCCTTCAAATCAAGTTCCTACACTAAACATAAACCACAAATGCTGTAAAGGAATTTGAAAAAAAAAAAAAAAGGAGGCAAGGAGGATAAAAGGCGAAGAGGAGATGAAGTGGGTAAGTGCAGCAGCGAGAGTGAAATTGAGTTAGTTGTAGGTGGCCATGCCGACCGCGGAGTCCCTGGCATAAGGATTCCAGCCTCCTTCCCTGGCCTTGGCATAGCTGACATAATAGAGCTCGCTAAGGATGCATGTGAAGAAAATAAAAGCTGCCCCTGCCCCAAACACGCCCTTCCGGACCGTCTCACAAGAGGGGGTGGTGTTCAAGAATACGCCTAGGTATTTTGTGTGATAAGCGTTCCTAACTGATCCCGCCAACAAGCACGACTCGGCGATGATGAACGTCAACCTATAGATGCACGCACATGGACATAATTCAAGCAGTAGGGCATACATACTGTGTAACAACAAACATGTGTGTGTGTCGAGTGCATTTGGGAGAGGAGAATCTGACATGCCAATGCACTAGTCTTGTGTGTCCACATGCACATAAACACGAAACATCCTCATCGATATGTGTTTGGAAGCTTTCATCTTTAATTGTTTCAAAGACTTGTGTTTCTGCACTGTAAGATTGCATACGCGGCGGCTTTGATTTCAACCTATATGTTTGATTGTTTTGTAGTTTTATTAGTGAAGACTGCATTTCTCTATTTTATCACAGAAAAGAGTAAATGATAGACATAAAGTTCATAAACCATCATGCACATTATATATCAAAATTTTGTTCATCGATTTACCATACCTTTTAAGATATTTTATGTTATGTTCTTTTTAATTACCTAGTTTGGTACTCTGCTCAGCAAGGTGCCGAGTCCGAGGCAACCCGTCTGGGTGGGCTAATGAACATTGAGTGCAAGATAAACACAGAGGCGCTGGTGAAAGCAAAGCAGGGGAAGGGGAAGGGGAAGAGAAACATGAAAAAGGTATAATAGCATAAGCATGAGGATATAATACCAGCAGGCGATGAAGAGGACGAGGGCCCATGCCCTGGAGCCTCCGGGCCTCAACGACCTCCCGCAGCAGAAGCACTTGCTGGCGGCCATGACGAGAATTTGGCTGATGAAGAGGAAGAGGAATGCTCCCACACCGTAGCCAGTGGCGATGTCCGAGTCATAGACACAATATGTGTACTCCTTGTCCCTGTCCGGAAGCACCTGAGCCTGAGAGCACACATACAAGAGAAGAGAAATTTACTCACACTCACAGCAAAGGAAATTAATAATATCCTCCAAGATATTCAACACACAGGCAAGGTTCGCTTCAATTCTCCTGTTCTTCATTTTTACCACGTAGAAAATCTCAGATCCCCCATTCTAGCACCCAATAACAGTAAGTACGGTGAGTGAGAGAAAGTGAAGAATGAGGTTCAGAGAAAGAAGGTACCGTGCTCCTCCTCTGCTCAGCGACCACAGCGAGTCCAAAGGCGATCAGATCGAAGACTAATACAATTATAAGCAGCATAAGTGAACCTCGTCCCTCTGCCATGGCTGCGATCGAACAAAGGAAGAAAGTCACTCCGAGTTTGTAGAGAAGGCTCAGATCTGCATCTCTCCCAACCCTTAAATTCCATCGCACCTAAACCAGGCTGAGATCGACATTTCACCTAAATTCTTTATTACTTATCGGAAAATGGTTTCATAAGGCCGCAGCACTATCAAAATAACTGAAGTCTCACCTCCATCCAAAATTCCAATTCTACTTCGCCGCCCCTCCACGTCACTTGAATGTTATTATTGTGACAAGAATTAGGATTTCAAGCTTTTAAAATAATTAATGTATATTGTATTAAATTATTTACACCGTCTATTTTGTCCTAAAAATAAATCTTCACATATCCTGTACCATTTTTTAAGTTTTAAATTTTATTATCACTAATAGCAATTGATTTTAAAGTCCATTTTCATTTCGTAAATGCTTTCCTAATCAGGATTTGAAGTGAGAGTTTATTTTGTTTCCATAAAGCCTAGGCTCTATAAAAACTTCTTATCCGTCCAAAAGTTTTATTTAAGGGAAAAAATTTATGCAATAGAACTACATATCCACCTCAAAAATCAATCTAAAAATGTTATTTTAATGCTCTAATTGATCATCTCGACATCGAGATGTATTATTATAAATAAATAAAAAAAAAAAGATTTTGAGTCCTATAAATAGTACATCTTACAACACATTATCCAGACCGTCTATTTTCAAGATTTTCATATAGTTATAGATTTAATTGATTTTAACTATTCTTGGAGTTTAAAGATTTCTATTTAGATATAAAAATAGATTTTGAGATAATTCTAAGAATATTTTACATCAAAATTATATCTTATGATAAATTTTGAAGGTGCGTCTTAATTGGATTGTTTAAGGTTGCAACCTTATAAAAACCACACCCTTATTTAAATTTATTTTTCTTTTTCTAGTTTTGCCAGTTTCTGCCGACTCTTTGCTTATTGTTTTTTAGGGTCAACTCTCTCGAATTTACAAGCTATACATCTGAACCCAATAATACAAAGAGAGCATTTACTTTTGGGGTTATATCTCCTGCGTTTATTTTTAGAGTGTCCATTTTTTTTATATCGTTTAAGCATTTAATGGCAACTATATCTTATGCTTCTCGTGATTGTTTTCAGGAAATTAAGTTTTTCAATATTTTTTGACATTTTTCAAAAATAAATTATTAAGAGGTCCACATTTCTACATGTGAGTATGTGGACTCATAGAAACCGTGTCTTTTAGAGATTAATTTTCAGTTACATTTGGGGTTATTTAAATAGCATTTTGTGAATATTTTTGGGGGATGCCTAATTTTTTTTGTTTTATTTTTTGCGTAAAATAATGACCTTATTAACTTGTATTATACATATGTGGTCGCTACCCTCCTTGGTTTGTTCTTCGATTGTCTTCTTTTGACTGCGTGGGTTGCAAGCAAGCATGTGATCCACTCCGTTGGATATGTTCCTTTACTTTATGTAAATTGAAAGATACCCTCAATTATTTTATTTGGGTTTTTTCTATTGGAATAAATAAAGGAATGAATAATAATAAGAACAGTAATTGTAATATATAATCAGGAAATTGAGGTAAATATCTTTTAAGTTTCGTGTTATTCAGTAAGTGTCCCATATTTTTGTACATAGTTTACACATTCATGTCTCTTTTCTAAAATTCTTAATTTTCTCCAAAATACTCTCCGTTTCAAAACTCCAAGTTCTAAACTGATGTCTATTTTCCCCGAGTGATATGTCAGTTCAAAACCTTGAAGTTTCAATTCGAGAACATTTGTGCATTTTATATGTGATCAAAGGGTTCAAAACTTCAAACTCTAAATTACTCTCAAACTTAAAAAAATATTCATAGTTCCTTAGTGCATAAAATATAAAAAATAGTTGATGTTTTTTAAATACCATAAAATTAAAAAACCAACATTTATTATTGTTGTTATTATTGATACTAATTGATATTGCTATTACTATTATTATTATTGATATTACTATAACATCAAGTAATTAAAGGGCTTTATGAATAAAAGTTGGGTGGTACCTTATTGTTAGAGCTGATAGGGTGAGAGGTCAAAGGAATTGTTGCGTGCCCTAACAACAATATGGTGCTAGAAAGTGAACTCATAACTTGCCAATCAAACTTGACCTCATAATGATATGTACTTTCAATTTTTCTAATTCTTCCCACCACATTTAGAGAATAGCCTTGGATTACTAATTTATGTTTTGCGGTAACATCCATGTGAAGTATTCATAACATCAAAAAAATATTAAATAGTTGTAAGTGGAAGAATAATGTAAAATTTATTGTATTATTGTTAGAAAAAAATTATGAGGGGGGACCATTTTTTTTTATTTTTAGGACCATTAGGGGGACTAATTAATGTTAACTACTTTACATGAAATCCTAAACCTTTTTTTATTTTTTTATTTTAAGATGTTAGCTTAGTGGTATCAGAAGGAATGAAAACCACAATGTGGTGACTAAGGTGTAGAGGTACTAAAAAAAAAAAGTCCATACTTTATTGGTTAGTTCTCGACGATTTGCAAGGCTACAATCTAAGCTCAATTCCTACCAAGAGTAGAGGGCCTTCTCGAAATATTTTCTCCCTTTTTTTGACAGATAAAAGAAAAAATTTATCTTTTTCCAACAAAACAAAGAAAGGGAAATAAATTTGAAGACCCCTAGATATTTGTCATCTACAAAACATAGCCGTGCCGGCCTTTGCCTTTGGAAAATTATCATTAAAATGTCAAACGACTTGAAAAATCGATTAAGGCAATAAAAACACCCAATTTACCATTAGATTCCTTAAATTTGTTGGGCTCACGTTCCTTCCAGGTATTTGCTTAAAATTTTTATTTAAGAATACTTAAAGGGAAAAGTTTATATAGAGCCGAGGCTCAAAACAATCAAATTTGAGCCTACCTAAAAATTTCACTACAAGAGGTTGTTTTGATACCTAAATATCCTCAAATTGATCATCTCGACATCAAAATGCATAGACATGAGAAAAAAATGGATTTCAAGTTTTGAAAATAGTGTATTTTGTAACATATTTGTTTACCATCAATTTTCAAGATTTTCAAGTTTTCTAGATCTATCGATCTACACTGTTTTTGAAGCTTTAAACTTTATAAATAAAGATGAAAATAAATTTTAAGGCTATTACAAATATTTTCAGCATTGAAACCACATTTCTCGATACTATTTGAAGGTAAGGTCTAATTTTATTATTTAGAGCCTACCTTCAAATAGTATCAAGAAATTTGGTTTCAATGCCAAAAATCATTTTGATAGCCTTAAAATATATTTTCATCTTTATTTATAAAGTTTAAAGCTTAAAAAATAATGTAGATCAAGAGATCTATGAAAACTTGAAAATCTTGAAATCTGACGGTCCAAAAGTACGTTACAAAATACATTATTTCCAAAACTTGAAATCCCTTTTTTCATCATGTCCATGCATCTTGATGTTGAGATGATGAATTTGAAGATATTTGGGCATCAAAACAATATCTTATAGTGAAATTTTTGAAGTAGGGTCGAATTTGATTGTTTAGAGCTCCATATAAACTTTTCCCTACTTAAAATACCCTTGTTTTAAATATGGGACCTGAACCAATTGAGGGATTTGGCACAATTGCGGTCAGTTAATTGGCTCAAGTGAAATGGTATAAATATTCATATTCATAAGAATCCAGAATCACCTATAAATTTTCTTATTTTGTGTTCCCAATACCAACCCAATCGACAGAACCCTAGGGTCAACCGAGGCCCAATCGCCGGGTCCGCTCGACCCATTATGCGTATATATGTATATATCATAACAACTCTATTAAATGAATCCAAAGCATCTATTTGGTAAGCCTTTAAGAACTCAATAAAATAAAATAAATAAATAAATAATTCAACAAAATGGTCTATATAATGATGATAAAGCCATCTACCAAATTCCTTCCCGTCAAAATAGATGGCTTATGTTCATTTGGGGGCCGTTTGGCTCCTTCGATTCAGACTTCTAAAATTGGTTTTAGAAATGATTTTTTTTGGAATTGAAATTTTCATGGTATTCTTGAATGCTCATTTTAAGTTTAAATTTTGGAAATCTCTATTCTACAAAAATAGGTGGAATTGACATTTTATGGAAACGACCCGTTTTGTTGTTGAACAACGAAAACATATTAAATTTTAGACAAAGAAACTATATCAAATTTTAGAGAGAGAAAACAAATTAAAATTTTAGAGAAGGAAAATATATCAAATTTTAGAGATAGTATATGAAATATTTAGAGAGAGAAAATACGTGAATTTTTTTAGAGAGAGAAATTATCTTAATTTTTTAGATAGAGTGCATCTTGAAATTTTAGAGAGAAACTATCTCAAATTTTAAGTTTTAGAGAGAGAAAGCATCTTAAAATTTTAGAGAGAGAAACTACACTAAATTTTAGAGTGAGAACTACTTCAAATTTTTTAGAGAGAAATATCTCAAAACTTTTAGAGAGTAAAACTATCTCAAATTTTACGTTTTAGAGAGAGAGTTTATTAAAATTTTAAAAATTATAAACTATATCAAATTTTAGATCGAGAAACTACTTGAAAATTTTTAAAGAGAGAAACTATCTCAAGTTTTAAATTTTAGAGAGAGAAACTATCTTAAAACTTAGAGAAAGAAACTATATCAAATTTTAGATAGAGAAAGTGCTTGAAATTTTTAGAGAGAAACTATTTCAATATTTTTAGATAAATTATCTCAAATTTTAAGTTTTAGAAAGATAAGTTATATTAAAATTTTAAAGAAAGAAACTATCTGAAAATCTTAGAAAGAGAAACTAACTCAAAAATAAAGTTTTAGAGAGAGAGAGAGCATCTTAAAATTTTAGAGAGAGTAACTATATCAAATCTTAGAGTAAACAAGTACTTTAAATTTTTAGATTGAGAAATTATATCATAATTTAGAGAGAGAAACTACATGAAATTGTTTAGAGAGCGAAACTATCTCAAAATTTAAGTTTTAAAGAGAGAAAGTATCTCAAAATTTTGGAACGAGAAACTATATCAAATTTTAGAGAGAGAATATCTAAATATTTTAGAGTGAAAAATTACCTCAAAAATTTTGAGAGAGAGAAATTATTTCAAATTTTAAGTTGTTGAAAGAGAATGTATTAAAATTCTCGAGCGAAAGCCATATCAAATTTTAGAGAGAGAAATTATCTCAAATTTTTTATAAAGAGATAGGATTTGCATTTCCAGAAAAAAGATATTTCAGGCAATCCAAACAGTAAATTTGTATTTTCTTGGTTTCTATCGGATATAATCCAAACAGCATATACCATATACCAGGAAATGTCAATTCTAGTAAATACCAATCCTTGATATAATTTTCTACAATATTGAAAAGTCCAGGGAACCAAAGGGGGCCTTAGTGAAAAACACTTTTTAGAGTGCATTTTCGAACTTTATTTTTTTTGACATTTTTTGTTAGTATGAAAAGAGTACATTTAAAACAGAAAACTCCTAACATGATTTCTGATGGTGTCTGTATAAAACTATTACATGAAATCACTCCCATATGTGTGTGTATATGCAAAATTTAGGGTCAAACAAGTGGTGTAGTCTAACAAAAACCTATTAAAAATATGGCTTTTTGGAATCATAGTTTCATTATGAGATCATTCTAATCCAATCGATCCTAACCGCCACACACACATGCACATATAGAGAAGATCCAATCCAATCCAATTGATGCCAACTTGACCCGATTAAATCCGATTGGACCCAAGTGAATTGTTAGGTCCATACTTTGGAACTATGCCTAACTAGCCGTGCCTTAAAATCGGACTTGGACCCAAACCCTAGGTAAGGTGGACTCACTGATTCTCTTGGTCGAGCCGACCCGACCACCAGGCCAAGGGATATTGAGATCGCTTGGTTCAAGCCGAGGCAACACAAGCTACATGACAAGCGAATCCTTAGTTATTTAAGCTTAAGAAAAGGGAACTTGTGTTTTTCATTGGATATGGTTTTTAAAGTTTCTAATCTTGAATATCGACGGTAATACAAGCATTTTGCTTGCATTAATTTACCCAAGTAAAAATGGCCCCATTCATTCAAGGTTAGGAATGAATAACTCACTCTTTTATTTATTTGAAAATCCTTGGGTGTGTTACAAAGTTTGATAATTTTTTTTAAAGTTTAAACATGGTAAATAAAACAAATGCAGCTATCTAATTTTACATCAAACGGTCAAAATTAATTGTGACCACCATGTATTAAAGATAAATATAATTATAGTATAAAATAGCATCGGCGATTGTGAATGATTATTTAGTTGAGGTGACATTTTTGTTCGACTAGAATTCAAGTGAGAAGAGGGGTATACAGATAATCTTAATAGTTTTAAGATTGGAATTGAAAATAATAAGGTGCTTAAACTCTTGTACATTACACCTACGTATGTAGAAAGAGAGTGGGGTGAAAAGGTGAAGCAGTAGTTTGTTACATTCACAGACAAGAAAAAATGAAAGGCAATGCATTGCAATGCTGTCCCCAATATGGCTGGCTCACCAAACACAAACACTGTGAAATACAGAGGAGAGGAGGAAGGATTGTGAATGGAGATGAAGATTAGTTGTAATGTTTCGAGATTACAATCCGAGGGCTCCGAGAGGGGTTTTGCCTTGTCCGGCCTCGAAGTAGAAGATGAGCATTGCGAGCATGGCGATGCGGGCGTGCTTTATCTCCGCCAACTTCAGCCTCTCGAGCTTCTCTGCGTCTGGGATGTACTGTCCGTTCTGGATGGTTCCAGCAAGACCCAGAGGGTCGAAGAACTTGCCCCCGGGGTACCCCTGCTCACCAGTGGCATTCGCAAAGTTCTCGGAGGTCCTCGACCATGGTGTCGCCCACTCTACTGACTGTGACTCGGGGTTGAAGAAGTCCACCCACCTCTTGCTCTCCACCCAACCCATCAGCAGCAGCTGCGTCCCGAGCAAGGACCCAAAAGAGAAGGGGGCAATGGCACCTGGGTCGGCACCAGCTTTGAACCACGGGATGCCGCTCCATGCCTGGCCCACGAAGATCCCGACCACCGCTGCCATAGCCCAGCGCCCATGGATGAGCTCTGCCTCTCTGTACCATTTTAGGAATGCAGGGTCTTTGCCCAACCCCAGGGGATCAAACCCATAGTCACCTGGAAGCCTGTCAGAAGAAATTTAGGGATTAATTTCTCAGATAATAAATACGTATCTCTTCCTATACCTTTGTTGTAATTTATATAGAAATATGTAATGAGAAATCGAATTGGAAAAGGAGAATGTTACTTAATTCAAACTTGAAAGATGTCGATGATGTGCACTAATGCCTTCATCGGAAACATAAACTCTAATCTCTGCTCTAAATGTGAATGATTTATTTCTTTTGAAATTAAAAACAGTACAGTTTTCATCGTTTCACATGCATCAAATATCTGTGTTCATGATCGGTAGAATTGAGAGAGAAGAAAAGGTGGTGAGCGGTGTAGTGTACTCACGAGCCATCGAGCCATTCGGGATCGACGAAGTTGCCTCCTCCTTTGACACCAGGGAGCCAAGATTTCTTAGCAGCACCAGCCGCCGCAACCACCACCTGCCGACTGGAAGAGCCACCGCAGAGAAGCAAGCCGCCTGGCTGCCGGAGCCGTTGTGCTCCTCGAGTGCTGCCTCCGCTTAGGAATGGGGTAGCCGTGGGGATAGCTGCCATCGATCGTCTTTCAAAATTTTACCTCAAACACTCGCACCAAACCACAAGGTCCGCACGCACCGCAGGGTCTGCGCTTCTTCTTCTCCTTCTCCTGTCTCCTACTACTAATGTTGTGTTATGTGTGTTAATAACTTCTGGCTTTATCTGTGGCCACGGGAGTAGGGGGATGGGGGCCATGAAATCCCCAAAGATAGATTTCCCACCAATGGCCTGAACCCAATGTCATTCTCCTGACACGTGGAACCAACCATCACCTCAGATCCTTCGACCACGCATTCCACAAAAATCAATTAATCTCTATTATGAGATCATGGAGACCACACAACACCCACCTACAGAAATTTATGTATGGATGCATAGGTAAAAATACGCACACTCTCATGGAGACCACACAACACCCACATAGACAAATTTATGTATAGATACATAAGTACATGGAAAAAAAAAAAGAGGAAAGAGTTTATATCTTATAATGTAGAACTATTGATGCCCCTCAAAAATCTATCGAAAAAGGTAGTTTTAATGTTCAAAAACCCTTTGATTGATCATCTCAAATCTTTGCAAAACCTTTTTATGAATATTGAATCTACGATGATGATGATGATGATGATGAACTCTGCACATGGGAGTTCCCCCACCCCCTCCCAAATAAAACTCACGCACATGCAAGCACACACACATGCATATATGTGGTAGTTATGTTCGGAAAAGGTTCTAATAGGAATAGAACTCGACGTTTAGTGGCCTCACCACCCCAACCATATAATACAACGATGGATATATGCATCAGCATCCTGCCACTTAGACCGCACATTACATTTATGATGCTATGATTTCACATCGCATGGATGCCCCAAGCCCAAAACCAGTAATTCTGAGGAGTGAATGAACTATTATTAGGATTTTTTGTTTTGAAAAATATTTGGTTTTATTTCAAAATAACATTATATTTTGTGCAGTTTTTCTAAGTTTTAAATAAGTTAAGAGAAAGGTGGGGCTTTTAATTCCACATTAAAGAAGAGAGTGAGGATTTGATGGTTTATATATGTATGGACATTCCCCTTCCCATACCTTATGATCTTAGAACAAAGGTGAGAGTGTGGGTGCACGCATGCGTGTGCGTACGTGATGGCGTAAGCATGTTTGATGGCGTACCCGCACTTGTACCCGCACTTGTGCATGTGTGTGCAGGTCGGGCTCGAGGCACAAATATGGCACATGAAAAAAGGCACATGAAACTGATCATAGCCATTGAAACAATGGGCAATGCATGTAATTGCTCGAATGCAACGATTGATGGTTGTTGATGGAAGCTGTTGAAATTCCAAAAGTCACATATTTTTTTTTTTTGAGAAGGTTACATAGGACTAGAATTTAAGACATTGGGCTGTCAAATTCTGGCCTCTACCTTCTTGACCCAAGCCCATTTCCTAAATCTCAATAGTCACATTATGCTCTCAAGGTCACTAGCCATTGAAGACATAAGGCATATAAACCTAATTGCAGCCATTGAGACAAACGGGACATAAGGCATATAAACCTAATTGCAGCCATTGAGACAAACGGGAAGGGCATGTAACTGCTCACATCCAACAATTGATAGTTGTTGATGGTGGCTGTTGGAATCCCAACAATCACATTATGCTCTAAAGCAATATGTAAATGTTCACTTGAACAGTCACATGCCAGTCACCCATAGCTCTATTTAATGAGTTTGTTTCTTCCAATGTTTAAAAAAAACAGATCGGTGGGGCGGATCATCCACCCTCAATCCTGGTTCGGATCGGCTAGATCAGCGATTTGAATCATTCTGGCATCGTTTGGACCAGTGATCTAATAATAATAATAATAAAAGAAATAAAATAAAAATAAAATAGAATTTTATGGGGTGGGGATTTAAGGGGGAACGGCAAAAAAATATTAGATAAGCTAAAAGAAAAAAAAAGACAAAAGGGGATTTATGGAGGGAACTGGTCCGAGACCCATACCATTCCAAAACCAATTCAGTCCCGACAGATTTCGCATCCGGAACAGTGACTCAAAGTAGAAATTGCCAGTTTTAAAACACCGGTTTTACCCATTTTAACACAAATTTTGTAGAGCTTTTGCGCTCTCTTCTTTTTTTTCTTACCTCTCTCTCTTTCTCAATTCGAATTCTCTCTAAGAATACACTCTTTTGCTCTACAGTGGGCATCTAGTGCAGATGCACGGAACCTTGAAAAGCAACAAAAACACCTTTCCCTGTATCATGAGGATGAATTAGCCTCTTTATGAACATTATTCACATTATTGGAGGGGACAAATATCATCTTGAAAAAGCGTTGTTGCGTGTTTAGAAATAAAAAAGAAAATTCATTCTAATTTTGTTCCTTTTCACCCAACTATTTCTAACATGAAGCATGAAATAGCAAAAGTTTATTGTTGTCAAAAATCTTCTTCGTTTTTTCTTGGCACAGAGAAATAGCATATGATGCAGTAGTAGTGGACTCACTCCCCTGCCTAAGGGGCTCTGTTGTTTTTCACTCCAAAAGATCATATAGTGCGTACAATCTCTCACCAAAAACCCTTTCTTAAAGTGATTTTAAGACCACAAACAAACTTTTAGGGATGAAACCTCCTTAGATCAACCAACCTCACAAAAACAAAACTCCTTTCTTTTTAAGAAAAGAGGAACACATGGTAAAGCCTTAAATCAATCTGGTTTATATCCAAAAAATGTGCGTGTGAGAGAGAGTTGCTCGTCATAAGATAAATGATTACACAAACAGGCAAGGGTATTTTATTGAAAACATCATTCCACAAACTTCCCCGCATTGCTGACGATAACGAAAAACAACTTACAATAGCAAAAGAAATATCTAGAAAATACTCAAAAACCAACGAGGTACCCCAATTTCACCAAAATATTCCCCTTTATAAAATAGCAATACCAATCGAAATCCCCAATGTAGCAGATGCAGCTGAATATTTGAGAGCAAAGACAGAGAGAGAATTACTTCATTTCCACATAGAATATTGTTGCGGAACCATAAGCACGGATCGTGAGAACAAATTCAGACAAAGAACAATGCATGGAATTACTTCAAATCACAAGATAGTATAATCAATATGGAAATTAATTTCAACCATATTTGTGAGAGCAATAAGAATGATTGAGAGACAAAATACAACCAAAGTTCTAACACAAGAATTTCAAAGGGAAGAAGAAAACCAGAGGTTAAGTAGGATGACTAGATTAATGCACAAAGACATTCGAGACACATGCACTGTATTGAAAGGAAACATTTCAATAAGAGACGGCAATATAAATATATCTAGAAAGAAAACAAGACTCGGAGAAAATCAGAACACCAGATAGGTTATATTAGATCGAAAACAAAGGTCAAACCACGTGAGAAGATAGTATGGACCATGACAACGCATTGAGAGAGACCCTGACCATTCAGATTTGAAGCTCTAACGAATATTGATCAATATTCAATTCAAGAAGAAACCAGAGGTACTCAAAACAAAATATGAGCAACTTAATACAATGAGCAGCAGCGTGTAGATCATTCAAACTAGGGTGTAGCATAATCAATAGAAAGAAAGTTCAACCAGATCTTCAACGGTATGAATTAAGAAACAAAAACCAACAAACCAGCTTTCTCCTTTATCAACAACAAAACAACTTATAACTTCTAATTGAAGTCATTTAAAAGGGTGGAATACAAGAAGAAACAAGGGCATAAATAGAAGGACTGGATTGACGTACAAGTGATTAAAAATGCCAGCAATGGATTTGAAAAAATAAATAAATAAACAACAGCTCTTAAAAAAGGAGTAATAACGCATGAAAAAAGTCAGAACAGCAGATATTCTTCACTAAACAATAAATGAAGATCAATTCAAGAGACATTCATACATGTAACACGTGATGAACAACATAGATGTATGCATGAGACTGGCTATGAAACTTAACCAAATAGGTTCTTTCAAGAAGAGTTTTCATCTGTAGCAGTCATATGACCATGGAAAAATGATCAATTTCATCTACATTCCAAACCCCACCTCAGCATCTCTTGTGCACTGGCCATAGTAAGTAAAATTGTTTTAAAAAAACAAGGATACCATAAGCTACAAAAGAAGAGAATGTAGAGAGCATGGAAGAACAAATGTCCCACACCAACACTATCTTAATATTTACATTCAGGGACAACAAATCCTTCATCTTTCCCCAAGGCAACTACCACCTTTTTTAGGATGGCCTCCATTGGCTGATGAGAATTCTCAATGGCCTTAGAAACCTGCGTCCATATCGGTCCATGCCTCGGCTCAGCAGCGATCGAGGACATCTTTCTCGCTATCCTCAGCACCATGCTGAAGCACAAACTTGTAGTATAGGGCCCCAACAATCCCCAATATCAGGGTCATGTGTGACTGCCCTGTTAAACCAAGTCTGGGCCTTGCCCATTGATCTTTTCTTGAATTTTAAAATTTGGTATTACTCGGCTTTTTAGTTTATTTAGCAGAGATTTGAGAGGTATACAGGATATTTATTTTTAGAATTTTAGGACCAATCTTTTACTTAAAAAAGTTATTTTTATAAGAAAGAAAGGAGTTTTAGAAAGGGAGAGATAAATGTGTTTTATTTATTATTTTATTATTTCTAAGTATATTTAAAAGGCAGACTTCCTCCTTATAAAGAGAAGAGATATTAGAATTGATTAAAGTTGATATTGTGAAAAAATCATTTTTAGGGTGGATTCCCTTGCAAACCCAAAAATATGGTAGATTTTCTTGACCTTTTTTATTTTATAAATCTATTTTCTGGTTTATTATTTCTCCCCGTATCATAAACTCATGCCCTTTATTTGTTAGGTTTATCTCATATTTCTTATATTCCTTTTCTAGTTCTTGAACATCTTTTATAATTCGTATTATAGTAGGATTCCCATGTATTTTGCTTGTCATCATTGTAAAAGTTGGTGGAATTCGAGGTAGAATTTTGTTTTTCTCCTTCTACAGTAAAAATTATCCTCTATTGAAACTGTGAAAGGGTTCATCTAGAGTCGCAGGGGCATTCCAACTTGATATCCTCCATCTTTAATATTAAAAAAACAATTCTATAATTCTTTGATGCATAAATTTATGTTAGTTCCTATATTCAGAAATAATTAAATCTTTTCTTAATTTTCGGATCCATTTATTCTAATTTTTGCTAGTACTAGGAGAAGAGTTTGGGAATGCAACGTTTTTCGAATTTGATACATTAGAAAAGACTAGTAATTCATCATCACCAGATAGAGAACTTACAGAGTTTTATTCAATTATTTCATTTTCAGCTGCATCTTTTAAGGTAGGAGTAGGAGAAGAGTCTGAAATTTCTCAAGGTCTCCATTGCATAATAAATTTGTTTCTTATTACCCTATTATCAACTCCTAGAAGCTTTTTTTCTAAAACTTCAAAAAGTATTGGGCAAGCAAAAATTTGTTTTGGGGCTAAATATAGTTGTGAAAGAGCATAAAATTTTCCTTCATCCTTACTATAATATTCCTTTCTTTCTGCCTTTTTCTTGGGATGAAAGATTGGCCCCGGGGAAAAGAGGCATATTATATAAAGGAAAAGGAACCTTAAAATGCAAAATTACAGATGCACCCCAAAAATCCATCAAAAAAGGTTGTTTTAATGTTAAAAAAACCTCTAATTGATCATCTCCGAAACGTATGAATATGAAAAAAAAAAAAAATTTGTCCTAAAAATAGTACATATTGCAATACATTATCTAGACCGTCCATTTTCAAGATTTTCATATGTTTATAGATCTACTTGATTTTAACCATTTTTTGAGTTTAAAATTTTATAATTAGACATGAAAATAGATTTTGAGATAACCCTAATAAATTTTTCATCAGAAGTACATGTTATGATACAATGTGGAGATGCACCTTAATTGGATTTGTTTAAGGTTGCAACCTTATAGAAACCACACCCTTATATAAATGTCTAATGTATGATAAAAAACCAAATATTCTGCCCATGGCTAAAGCATAAATGAACCAGAATATTTATTTGTCCAAACTTCAGAGTGCAATAGGGGTGGCAATAGGTCAGATTCGGGTTGGGTCTAGTTGGGCTTGGACCTAGACTTGAATAGTATTTGGGTCCAAGTTTTGGACGTAGACCCGACCCGTCGGGTTCAAAACATGGACCCATACCCGTTTGGGTCTTAGGTCTATCACGTTGGGTCACGAGTCTGGTCTAGTCCGATCTATTGCCACTGTCATTATGAGCATCTTTTTTTGTTGTCGTTTTTTACCATTATATATACCCATATTATTGGCAAGAAGGTCACAATCACTCACCATTACATTTCAAGCCCTCTGATTTGCCATTTAATAGCTAAAAATGACAACGAGTTCTTATTGTATACGATCATTAATACACCCAAATGAAACATTTTATCTCCAATAGTTTACTGGTACGGGTCGAGTACAATCGGACCCGAACCCGAACCCAAATAGTGTTTGGGTTGGAGTTTTGGTCTCGGAATCGACCAGCCGGGTCCAAATACTGGACCCATGTTGAGTATACGCAGTGAGTTGGAATTGGGTCCGGTCCATTGCCACTCTAGAGCGCATAGGTTAAATCTTTGGGTCCTCCTCCTTTCTACCCTACAAATTTCACATAGCTGAGGTCTAACAAAAAAAGGCGCCTTTCAGGTTATAGATAAGAATTTGCGAAGCACGACTGATAAAGCACATAAAAAACAAGAACGTGGGGTGGAATTCATTTGGCGGAAGCTCGGGTCCTGAGCAAGCAAGCAAGCATGTCATGAACCAGTCCCGCTCAAAGACACAAACAAAACACAGAATAGGCGTGCTCCTTCCTCTCTCAAATTTGAAGGTTTTTGTATTTTCGATAAGCAACGATCCACGTGGCTCCTTCCTATGGCACAATATCTTAAACCCACTCTCCATTTCGACTTATCCTCTTTGGTAAATCTTTATTTTCTGGCCCAAAACCCTTTTCTTTGTAGCGAGCGCAGGGAGAAGTGATTGATACTATCATTTGGTGTTGTTCAGTAATATATGCTCTCCAATGTATTCGGCCACAAAGCCATAACTGTTGATTTCCTCCTTCTCCTCCTCCTCCTGCTTCCATCTCTTTCTAGAATCAATATTGATAGTAGAGTAGAGCATCATCTTCATCTTTCATGGCCCTCCACCATATGATACACCCACCAGGCCTTTCATGCAACAAAGGCTTCATGCTCCCCAAAACCCATTTTCTCACCGCCACCACCACCACCACCACCACCACCACCACCAAATTGGGCTTCACCGACAGACCCCTCCTCTTCAACAACACCCCTAACTTCCAGAATCAGAGAACACCAACAATCCATCAACAATACCATGTCCTTCGCTGCTCCTCATCTTCAGAGAGGCACCGTACTGAAGTTCCCGAATCAAGCAGCGGGCTTGTCGAGTTGCCCCTTTTCCCCCTCCCCCTCGTCCTCTTCCCCGGGGCAATCCTTCCTCTCCAGATATTCGAGTTCCGCTACCGGATGATGATGCACACCCTCCTTGAGACGGACCTCCGGTTCGGCATCATCTATGCCGACAGCACCTCTGGGGTCGTTGATGTGGGCTGCGTCGGGGAGGTGGTGAAGCACGAGCGCCTCGTTGATGACCGCTTCTTCCTCATATGCAAGGGCCAGGAGAGGTTCAGAGTCGTCAACCTCGTCAGAACCAAGCCCTATCTGGTGGCTGAGGTCCAGTGGTTGGAAGACAGGCCCCCTGAGGACCAGCAAGAGGACCTGAAGGCGCTAGCCTCGGAGGTCGAAACATATATGAAGGACGTGATCAGGCTCTCCAACAGGTTGAATGGGAAGCCGGAGAAGGAGGCTCAGGACCTGAGGAGGAACTTGTTCCCCACCCCCTTTTCCTTCTTTGTCGGGAGCACATTCGAGGGGGCGCCCAGGGAGCAGCAGGCCTTGCTTGAATTAGAGGACACCGCCACCAGGCTCAAGAGGGAGAAGGAGACTCTTCGAAACACCCTCAATTACTTGACTGCCGCGTCTGCTGTTAAAGATGCCTTCCCCTCATCGTCATGATGATCTTCGTTTCCCAACCCAGATTATTAGAGGAAAGTCTTTATTCCTCCTTATCCTCTTATAATGTGTAAAGCTTTTGTTATGTACGCTCCTTCCACGAGTTACAGAGAGCAGGCTGGATTTGTATAAGTCCTGATGTGGATACTTCATGTCTAGGGCTAGCTATTGGACCACAGTATTTGCTCAATTCAGTAAGCTTGCCAGCCATCTTTTTTATTTTTGTTTTTCTTTTGCAATGGCAGCCGAATTGGGCCATGGTGCTTGTGGCCCTTTATGAAACTTGGCCTACTGTATATTTAACTTTTAATCCTTTTGAATTGCCTCCTCATCCACTGTTTAGTGTCTAATTCTGCAGTTGTCATGGAAGCCAGGGTGTAAGTGATACTGTGATAGTGACAATGGGAGTTGTAGTATAAGAACTATAACCAGTACTAGTTCTAGTAGTGACAATTCTTATCATACAAGAGAAGGATATAATTATTTCAATAAAAATAATTTTTTAAAAAATTTATGGCCCTGAATGGGAGAATTGTGATAGATTGTAGTCAGTTTTATAGATGAAGCACTTATATTGGCTTTTTGACCCATATTGTAGGTGGATCATGAAAGATATGAAAGATCTCTCCCTCCAGGCTGTACATACGTTATTGCCTTGTCACTAGTTCAATATTGAAGTTGTTACTGGATAATTTTCCTTTGTAAAATCAATTGATCCTGCAACCTAGTACATACCTTATATGAATCATATGATTCCATTAATCATGTGGCAATGGCTGAAATTTGAATTCTTTGATTCATGTTTCTTGAACAGTGGGTTGCTAGTCCTTCTGATTCTCATATGTTCTTCAGGACACTACTGTACTTATTATTTTTCTCTTTTTCTGATTGTCAATATAGGATACCTTCATCTTTCCTCCTATTAACCTTTTTACTCTCTCATGGTTAACCTTTTCTCGCTTTGTCTTGCATATTTACTTTACAGTAGAACTTGCATATTTTCTTTAATTGCATAATTAACCAGAAGTGCGTGTCTACAAATTTTCTTTTCATTGCTGGTTAAATCTCACCCTCTCCCATCTCTTTCTGACACAAACACGTGCACATGCATATCACAAAGGTCTTAATGGAAGGGAGGCAATTCCTAGCAATGACGCTTATTGGCTATGGATGCACCTATTTGGAGCTTGAAGAGGCATGACATGGGATTATGGTTAAGGTTCATTTGGAAGAGGCTTCTGATGATGTAAAGCAAGACTTTTTGGAATATATTTAATTCACCACATGCATTTTGGGGATAAGTGGAGGAGATTGATGATGGTATGTAGCTCATTGGTTTCCCTCTATTGGATTCCTCTCTGAGGTGCTTCTTCAGCAGTTCTGGAGGTTTACTATGAGCCCATTTTTTGCTTGCCATTATCTTTGTAGCTTTTAGGATGACGATCTTGGCAAGACAGTGTGATGGGATTGGGTATATTCAAGGAGTTTAAGTTGCACAATGAAGAGGTTATCACTCAGCTTTAGTTGTTGGATGATGCCTAGGTATGCAGTCGATTGTCTATCATATCAAGAACCTTGGTTTGGCAATTCAGGGATTGAGGTTTCTTCCTGTCAAAGAATCAACTGAAATAGGAGCTTGGCTATGGAGATTGGTGCTCCTAGCCCTTTGTTGGAAGAGTTTACATCAGGTTTGTTCTGCAGGGTGGAATCAGTACCAGGCCAGCAGTGAGGCTTGCCTTCATCTGAGTGACTAGATAAGAAGAGCCCATGGAGTCTAGTGATGTAGAGTTTGGCGAGATAGACCCCCTCCTCCTCCGCCCCCCAATGAAAAAACAAAAGAACCCAAAAAGAGGAGAAAAATTAGCCCCATGAAAGTTTTACTCTCCTTTGCAAGGAAGACAACCACCCTCATAAACGTAAAACGTTTCGTTGCATAATAATTCATTCTGTTGTCATATCTTCCAGATTTTAGCTGTTGTGGCACTCAAGATAGAACATATCCCCTGAGAGTTTCTGTCAGCGATACAATGAGGGCACAAGTTTCACTAGAACTTAAATATAGAAACACTTGAGCTTCTTGAAGTTTAACATACAAAAGGCATGCGATCTACAAAGAATCTGGCAGGGCAGGCACTGGCCTTGGACTCACTTAGCAACCCTAGAAGATTCAAGACAAGATGTCATATCTCACCGGTTGCTTGTGGTTATTTATTGATTTATTTTTTGAACTGTTAACCTTGTATTCAGTAAAAAGGATTATATTGTACAAAAAATAGCTGGCCAATTTTTTTTTTTTATATGATTTATTTTTGGTATTTAACTAACTTACTGACTATATTATATTCCATAAAAGTAAGATACATTCTTTTGTGCCCTATAGGTTTAAAGGGCTGTTTGTTGTGTTTGTATTTGTGTGTGTGTGTGTGTGTGTGTGTGTATGGGCTTGGCTTCCGGGAGCAAAGCGACAGGAGCCGAAGGCATTCCTTTAGGGAGCAAGCCCGAGAGAAGAGAAGCGCCATAGTCAGTACTGGTTCGTGTCGAAACTAGATGGGATTAGTGGAACAGGATAGGATAGGTTAGGAAAGGACAAGAAAGGTAAGGTATTCCTGGCTTGGCTT